TGTGTGTGTGTGTGTGTGTGTGTGTGTGTGTGTGTGAATAAGTGAATGATTGAAGTGTAACAACATGAATCCCAGACATGAAGAAACATGAATCTGATTTTGTGTTGTGGTCATCTTGTGTATTTGTTTACACCTGTCTGTGCYTTGTGTAAATGTACTGAGTCAGAATATCCAGCAGGGATAGAGTTAACTGATATGGTTTTCAGGTGAACATTAATGCTGACTGAAAAGGTTTGTAGCTGGTTTTGTTATAATGGTTAAAGTGTGGGTAATTTTGTTTTTTTACCACTTGTATTTGACCCGTCCTTCCTGACCGGTGAATGTTGACTTTGTCTGCTTTGCTTCTTTTGCTCCTCCAAGAAGTCTGATGTATTTAAATCCATCAGGTTTTAGCAGGTCTGTGTGGGGGGTCTCTGCTCTGTGAGCTGTTTGTGGTTCTGTCAGGTAAATATTTATGCTCTGATAAATGTTACTGAGCTCCACAACTGCCTCTGCATAGATAACCTGTGAATGTATATGTGCTAACACTGTTGTGTGTGTATGAAGTGTGTCTGGGGTTTAGCCGTTGGCCCACCTCTCCACTAGTGAAGCATGTGAGGCGCAGCCCTCAGTAAAAGAACGAATGTGAAGAGACATTTGGACAATCAATGTGAAGGTAAGCTGCTTAAGCTAAGCTGACGTTCCATCCTGAGCCACTGGTGGGTTTCTACGACAAGACCACAGACCGACAAAAACCTCTGCTCTGACAAAAACCACAGACTGACAAAACCTGTGCCCAGTTAATGTTCCTGGGAACAGAATGGAACGTCTCATGTTGTGATTTAAAAACATACTGGACAAATGACAGACACGCAGTGGGTGTGTCAGGTGTTCAGTCCACTTTGTTCTGTCTCCACACCATCATTTGCATTTTGGAGTGATTTAAATTTGTTGGTGTGAGATTATGATTAGAGCAGAGGAGCCCAAAGGGGGCCCGCGGGCCAAATTTGTCCCGCCAAGCCTTTTGATTTGGCCCACCGACAGTTGCCAAAGTTACAAGGTTGTAACCTGTTATCCTATAGGTAGAAACACAGTATTTCCATTGGTCAAATGACTATAAAAGGGCTGTAGTGAAGGTAGACTTTCTCCAAGTGCACAGACTAAAACAAAAGAGGGCCGTTGCACAGCTTAATCATTAAAAATAAAGGACTTTACTTTAAAAAAGTATTTGTATTTCATGTTTTATATAACTGCATTTGGCCCGCAGCAATGGATAGATTTTCATTTTGGCCCCCTCGGGGAAAATGTTTGGGCACCCCTGGATTAGATATTGTTGTTTTGTTTGTTTTTGGCCAAGCAAATAAAATATACAATAACAACAAAAAAGCCACAATAACATGAAAAGTTATGAGCGTATTACCACTTAATAAGGTCAGGTGAAATTGTAATTTTTTTAACCACACAGCAGTCAGCTGGTGTGTTTGTTGCTCTAAAACAGGGGTGTCCAAAGTGTGGCCGGGGGGCCATTTTTGGCTCCTGAACTGATTTTGTGTGGCCCCTGACTTCATTTCACGAATTATACTAATTCTAATTTAAATTTAATATTAAATTTGTCCCCCCGGCACAGCTGTTTGATGTAGATGGAGACTTTCTATTATTAGGGCAAATTTATCACAAAGTAAAATCTTATAATAAAAAAATATCGCAACAAAACCAATTATTTGTCTTTAAATAACCAGACTCGTAGTTTTTTTTCACATCGGTCCAGTAACTGAAAAGCTGATTTTGCTGCTGTCTAATCTGCTTTTATTAATTTATTAAAATTGTCTGAATACAGCTGCATTTTGAACAAAAGATCGACCTAAATCCTGATTTTATTGATCAGAATTGACTAAATTGTGTTGTTTTTTTCCCCAACTGAAACCTAGAAAATTGCTAAATTTCTTTCAATAAGAGAAACCTGCAAAACACTTTTAAAATTCTGGATTAATTTACACATCCATTTCCAGCAATAAATCTGACTACTTTATTTATTTAAATTATTCAAATCTTAGTTTATTGTTGAGCAGGTAAAGGAAAAATATTTTTGGCCCTCAGGTCCTTCTGACTTGATGATTTTGGTCCATGTGACAAAATGTTTGAGCACCCCTGCTCTAAAACAATAATTCTCCTTTTCATTCATCACAAAACCAAACTGGTTCCAGCGAGTCTCCTCATGCTCAGAGACCTGTATACAAGTTTATAACCTGACCAATTAAACAAGAGCAGAATGGCCCCTCCTCACAGCCGAACTGCTGCTTTTAAAAGCCCGTGGTGTGTGAGATAATACCCTGAAAGTAAAAGTGAGCATTATGTGTCAGACAGGGTTGGGTCACCTTCACAGGCTGAGAGCCAGCCTGTTGTTGTCCTCCATCAGCTGGAGGACCCCCTTTGCTGCTCTGGCCTTCCTGCCCATTATTCCTGCCTCTTACAGTGACCTGTGGCTGCTGTGTGATTTTCTTCACCACAGGGCTAACCGCACCAGATAATGGTAGATTTTAAAAGAATAGATGAGGCAGGCAGTCTGTCCTGACCACCTGGTGCCAAATATTAGCTGTAATTTAGTTTAGAACTGGAAGGACTCTCTGGGAGTTGATGTATTAAGACAATTACAGCCAGAAAGTGATGTAACTGAGCAATAATGTTCCTGTAATAATGTGTTTTCTTCCCAAGCTTTCTCCAGGCAACATCAAGCCAAAAAAAAAAAAAACTTTCAGAAGTTTAACACTTTCTTTTAGTTTCACCTTTAATAAATGATTTTGTTGTCCTGCTCTCTACAGCTGGCTGCACCTTCGATGAAGACTCAGACTCTGGTTTATGTGAGTACAAYCAGGGCCAGGAGGACGACTTCGACTGGCAGCTGATCAGGACCTACAGCTGGCCACACCCAACCACCGATCTTCTGCCAGGTAGGCCTCGACGTGGGTCACAGGTTCTGGGTCTGATCGCCAGGATCTGAGAACTGTGTGGGTTTGGCTGCAGTACATGAACCCATTCCTTCCTCATGTGCTTCAGATAGAAATATTTAAAGACATCAAATTAAAGTTTGTCTCAACCAAAGGCAGACCTTTTCTCAAAAACCAAAAAAACTTTACAATAATTTTCATGCCTGGCTCATGGTTTCATGCCTGCTCAACAGGATTTAAAGGTCTAAACTCCCGCCATGTTTCTTTGAGACCTTTAAATCTTTTTGAGCAGGCACGAAACCTTGAGCCAGGCATGGAAATGGTTGTAAATGGTGGAAATGCTGCACCATCAGAAATTAATCACCATAAAGATGTGAAAAGTTGTGGCACCTAGAGTTAAAAACCAGAAATGCTGGAAAAATGTAAACACCTAGAGAGAGTTTTCAAATCAAAATGCTGATCTGCCAAAAACAAATTTCCATGAATGCAAGAATTTTTGCTTGTCTAAAAGTAAAAATTCTCATACATGAGAAACATCCAGGAAAACAAGTGCAATATATGTATATACTAATACGACRCATTCTCACTCCCAAGTCGTCACATATTGACACTTTTCCAAYGTTCCCTCTGCATCCGATTTTGACACGTCGGGTAGGCCCCTTGCATAAGTTTTTGACGAGATGGGGCGGAATCTGTTGTCATAATTTCAGAAAGTGTAGAAAATGCACAAAAACTACCGTCCCAAAGCCTAAAATTACATTTATTCACTTTAGACACCCTGTCCCTGACACTAGTATCTAAAATTAAGCATTAACCCTGATACCTAAAATTAATCATTTTTAGAAAATGTAAGAAATTCACGTCAACTACGTGTTCCAAAGCCTAAAATTACCTAATATTCACTGTAGACATCCTATCCCTGACCCCAGTACCCAAACTTAACCATTAATCCTGATCCCTCATGTTAACCTCAGACCCCCGAACCAAAGACCCCTGGTGGTGCAACCTGGAAAAGGCGCGGGCGGCAAAGACTGACGAGAGGGTCACCCGACACGTCAAAAAAGACGCAGAGGGAACCTTGGAAAAGCTCAATATGTTGATGAGTCGGGAGTGAAAAATAGAAAAGTTGTGGAGAGTCGAAGCCTCAGTGGTCCCACTGGTCATTGGAGCTGTTGGTGTTGTGACCCCCAAACTGGAAGAGTGACTTCAGCAGATGCAGGGATCAACCTTAGAGTTTTCAGTCCAGAAGAGAGCAGTCAGAGGAACAGTTATTATCAGAAGCTTTAAGCTCTCRGGTAGAGGACATGAGTCCAAGTGGAAGAGTTGGGAGAGCTGGGTCTTTATACAAACACCAAGATTTTCTTGGTCAAGTGAATAACGAACCAGCTTGGTGGACCTGCACACTTCCAGTTTAACAACATTACCCTCTTGGGCAGCAGAGTCCTGAACGCTTAAGTCCTTTATCACYGGAGAGAGACGTCGAAGTAGACCATACCCCAAACAAGGCAGTAAACCATTCAATAGTGATCAGAGCAATATCCTCTCCTGTTACATCAGATAAGAAAAGAACATTATCAGATCAGAACATTTTAATGGAGGGCAGCGCCATGGTTCGCACAGAGGAGACACCGTCAGATATTTGTACAAGCTGACATTGAAGATCTGTGTACCTTCTTTAAAACCTCCCCACAAACATATAAATCAGCCGTCCTAAATCTGCCTCTCATACAGTTTTAACCACAGTGGATGATTAGAAAGATAATAAATATTTCATTATAGAATAAATCACTCCTCTCAGTGAGGGGAAATGAAACACTTAAAAAATAGTCCAGTTAGGAAGAGCTGGAAATTCAGGGGATGTGCTTCTGACATTTAAAGATAACCTACAAAAAGTTATTCAGGTGGAGAGAATGTATTTGCTAACTGTCTATGGACATGCTCTTCCCTCACTTCTGAAAACCACAAGATACTTGAACTCCTCCACTTGAGGCAACTCCTCACTCCTAACTCGGAGACAGCCCCACACTTTGCTAACTGAGGACCATAGCCACAGATATGAAGGTTTCTGATCCTCATCCCAGATGCTTCACAGAGCTGGTCCYGTGTTCCATGGCAAGGACGGAACCCGCATCATTCCTCTTGAAAAGGATCTGAAGAAATTTGAAAACACACTCTGTAGATCAAAGACTTTCATAGTCCTTCAGCAGGACCCCTAAATTAAAGTTCATGCAGGCTCCACCATGCCTCCAAGTCTTCACATTTCTTCTTCAAAGGGTCCACCATTGCACAGGTGATCTAAACTGTAGGAGAGATATACTGTATTTCAATGTTAAAGAGAAAAACACAAGTAAAAACACMAAATATGGTTAGAACCACAAATAAACTTAATTTAACAATTTCATGACTTTAATGCTTTGATCCACATTTACAGGAATCAATTTTGTGAGAAAATCAAATTTAACCAACAGTCTGTTTGATGTCACAGAGGCACACAGTACAATTTGTAAACCAGGGTGGGAGCAGCAGTAGCTTTGTGTTTCTTCTCAGCTCTGGTTACTTCAGAGGCTTCAGTGAGTTGGTGAAGCAGGCAGRWTGGTCACTCAGCAGCCGACCGGTCGACGCACGGTCGTGTGGTTATTTGGCGTTCGTTTTCGCYCACAKCTTTCATAGTTCCTGAGACACCCCGAGCCGAGCTCCTGGGAAAACCCCTCCTGCTGCAGCATACGTCACTGCATGGGATTTCTCTGCCGGTGGAGTCCAGTGTGGGAAAAAAAAGTCTGAGACTCGTCACTTGACGTTATTTATCCACAAACTGGTCCTGGATAAGCTCCAAAGTTTTTATCAGTCAGATTCCACCATGAAAAATGTCTGTTTTATCCCCTTTTATGAGGTTTTGGTCATTTGACTATCTTTATAAATCGCTGCTTCCTGGTAATAGTCAGCTCTGGAACGAGTCGCTTTTTCTTTTTTTTAAGCGAGTGGTTGAAGCAAAACGCAGCATCTGAGTGCTTTCAGCACAAACAAACACTCCCACAAACTTCTGACCAACCACACCATACAGTTCGTATGTGTTCTTATGTGGAGGGGGTGAAAAGTTCGACCCGCGGTTTGCGACAAGAAATGCCGAAATGACGGCAATGTGAACAGACGCGACGCAATTTTCGTCATGAAACTGCGACAGTTCGGCACGATTTCGGCAGTAACATGCTGGAGCCTCGAATCGGAC